CTCACACTCTTTCTATTTTGGTAACAGTTTCCCACACAAAAGAAATGTCTTTACTATTCTTCAAGAAAAAAATAATTTCCTCCACTTATGTCATAAAGTAAGTATTTTCTTATTCTACAATATAATGATAATGTCAAACCATCATAATATACTAGAATTTCCAACTGCATGTCTTACTTGTTTGAAGGTTCTATGATGTCGTATAGATTGTTCGTGACTACCAAATGCTCTTATTATGTTGAAAGCCTCTTGCTATTTTTTCTTTGGAAGACAAATAAACCTTTAGTTGGTTATAGCAATGCCAAAATACTTATTAAGTTTACTTATTCAGTTTATTGACTATTTTTTCATTTCCTTTTTAGTTAGAAAATTTCTTTATCTGCACTAAGAATCAAATCGGGTTAGCCTCCTACTCCTTCTTTCTGTCTATATTATAAGAACTGGTGGACTATGCTAAAATGTAAGTATTTCCTCGTTCTACAATCTAACGACGATGTCAAACCGTCCCTTTGCTGAAGCCTCCTTCCGGATTGCATGGCCTTTACATGCTTTCATTAGTTTGGAGAGCTGATGACGCATACGTGAGGATCGTTCGTGACTACCAAACGCTCTTATTGTATTGAAAGGCCTCTTCTATTTTCCCTTGCGGAGACAAATCAAACTTTGGTTGGTTATAGTTTGCTATTTTCCCTTGCGGAGACAAATCAACCTTGGTTGGTTATAGCTTGCTATTTTCCCTTGCGGAGACAAATCAACCTTTGGGTGGTTATAGCAATGCCAAAATACTTATTAAGTTTACCTATTCGGTTTACTGATTTTTTTTTTTTCACCTTTTTTTTTTTAGTGTGAACAAAATTCCTCACTTGCACGAAGAATTAAACCAGGCTGTCTCCTACTCCTTCTTTCTGTCTATATTATAAGAACTGGTGGATTATGCTAAAATGTAAGTATTTCCTTGTTCTACAATCTAACGACGATGTCAAACCGTCCCTTTGCTGAAGCCTCCTTCCGGATTGCATGGCCTTTACATGCTTTCATTAGTTTGGAGAGCTGATGACGCATACGTGAGGATCGTTCGTGAATACCAAACGCTCTTATTGTATTTATTGTATTGAAAAGGCCTTTTGCTATTTTTTCCCTTGCGAAGATAATAATAAAAGTTTACGTTTTTTCAATGTTAAATACTAAAGATTTTTTTAATGTTATTAAATTATTTGTTGAAAAATTAAATGTTAAATTCTGCATATTAATTTTACCGATGTTAAAGTGGCTAGATACTTTTTACCGGTGTGTACATCATTTACAAAGTAAAATAACTGTTTATACATGCAAAATTAATGGCCTAGACGCTATAATAGAAACGAAATTAGGAATTTGATTTTAAGTGAATATGTATATATCTTAAATTCAGTAATATATAACTTTTAAATCAAGTTTAAATTTAATATTTGTATTTATATCAATTGTTTTTATTGATGATTATAAATTATTATATCTATAATTATATATTATTTCTTCAACGAATTACTACCACAGATACGATGAAATCAAATCACTAATCGACAATTGTTTGAGTTACAGACTCATCTGTCGAAGATAGAGACCTTGTGAATCAAATAAATATGAAAATCCATTATAACTTACCCGCAGTCCTATACGCCGATTCTGGAATGTGATCTGAAATGAGATCTGGAATGTCATCTGGAATTATCGAGGGCAATCAAAAAGATTTTTAGACCGATCTTTAAACCAGTTTCAGTAGTAGCAAGTCGAATTTAATTACAAAGTGAAATAGAATCCCACCAATTGGTAAATTAACTATCATTATTCTAAATTTCATTGGATTGTTTTTTAGTTTCTATTTCGTATACATATCCATATCCATCTTGTTTTTGGGGAATAAAAGTTCAGCATACATCAATGGATTTTTCTCCCAAATTGAATGATAAGATTATTAACTATCCATTCAATAAAATTTTTCAAAAAAACGGAAAAAAAATTAATTAAAATACCCTAAAGAAAATAACCTCTAGACAATGTCTGGCAATCCGAAGAACATCATCGTAATATGTTTTTATGGTTTCGGAGTCAACTTAGAATATTTACAATAAATTTATTTATAACTAAACCAAAAAAATTAAAAATTTGCAGTTTATTGTAGCACAAAATATACAATTTTTATTAGTTGAATATTTGAGTTTTCCGGTCATTTTCTTCATGGGAATGTACATATTAGATTCCTACATAAATTGAAGCGAGTGTGCAAATGAGCCAAACAGGAGAACAAATTACCGTATAATATTGTTATTTTTTGAAGCATCATTTTAACTTTTTATTAACTGGAATTTTGCTTTTATCAGTTGTAAAATTTTTATTTTTAGAATTTTTCAAAGTTTCACTATTTTTGTACCATACGACCTAAATTTCTTTAAGGGATGAAAAAGGTTGAAACTTTTAAATCATGTTTATAGAATGAGGAAAAAAAAAAAATTTTTTTTTTTTTTTTTAAAAGTCAAGCAAAAATTAAATAAATAGGAAACTACCCATATTTGGTAAATTTGATTTTCCCTCTTTTCAATATAGATCCCCATATTTTCGGTAAATTTTTCACCGATTATACACGTTTTAATTCAATTTAATTTTGAAAATTTATGTACGGAATTTTGCAAGCGCATTTTCGATACTGTTTGTACATGAGGCGTCAATGTTCGAGAACCACCATAATTGAAATTTTTAAAATATAGATTATTAATATGTTTCGTATTTTTTCGTTCTCCTTTTTGGATTTACATGTGATTTCCCATCTTATATAGAATAGGCTTAGATATCTCCTAAAAATGACCATATTGGATCTTTACAATAGAAGGGAAAACTATTCTATGTGAAAAAAGGAAAATATCTAAAAAGGATTTGCTTGTGGTAAGTATCATTTGTTCGCGAGACCAAATTAATAATATTACAGTATATCATACAATCCACCAAATTTGGAAATTGCCGATCCGCTAGAATGAATATAAGTGATGTTTAAATCCCATTACTTACTAATATCCAACATGTTCTCAAAATTGCCTACTGAATGTCTTTTGGAGATATTAAAAACGCTAAACTCACATCATAATTTATATCAATGTATCTTGGTAAACCGAGCATGGTGCAATGCTGCCATACCACTAATCTGGAGTGATCCTTGGAAACATGTTTACGAATATTATGATGAAGATGAGGAGGATGAGGAGGGTCTATCGGAATTGCTACTTTCAACATTTATTTCATGTTTGTCAGAGGAAGACCGTAACTTTTTAGTTGATTCCGGAGTAATTTTAATGGATTGGATGAAAAAAGGAACGTGCTTTGATTACCCGGCCTTTTTAAGACATCTCAACTTTAACGATATTAGTTATGGCGTTAAAATATTCATTTCGAGAAACGTTGGAAAATATGATTTGAACTTGACCAATTTTCTCATTGAGAGAATTGGGAGTTTGTCCGTAAAAAAAGTTAAAAGGCTTGATTTTCTTGGATTTATTGATCGGTTTAATCGAATCACTCCTCATATCGATTATTCATCTTTTATGTTAAAGATTTTGCCTGAGGCGACAATCGCTCTCGGATACGTTAGAAAATTCGTCCTTAAAGGAGATATAAAACCTGAATTCTTTTATGATTTAGCAAATCGTTGTAGATCGATTGAAGATTTGGAAATCCACGATATCTTTAAGGATAATGACGGTTTGGCATATCTTATACGTTCTCAGAATTCTTTACGCAGTTTCTATCTAGAAGCTACAAACAAGAAAACCTTTGAAATTACTAGTATTCAAAATGCTTTTATAGGTATTGACTCATTGATTTGCCTTCGAATGAAGAACAAATTGTTACCGTTAAAATTATTTCTAAATTGTACTGGATTACAAAAATTACATTTGGATTCAATAAGAGATGATGTTCAGGATATGGAGGAATTTGTTAATCATATTTTTCCGGAACTAAAAAACTTGCGAATTCGTGTTAGAAATATTTCAATTAATCACATCTCTTTATTAATCAATAATACGCGAGGACATATAGATGAACTTTGTATCTATGGGAAGGTTAAAGACCTAGAAAATGCTTTTAAGTTCCGTGACTCGCTTGACAAGAAGTGCACGAATTTATGCACTTTAAGTCTTGCTTTCCAACATATAGAAAATTTCATTCCATCATTGCCAATCCTTTTTAAAACCTTTAAATATCTTAAATTTCTTGATTTGATGTTGTCCGTTTCCGAAAATCAACGTAACATTGGGGAAGATTTGGTTGAAATCGCTCCGCATATCCAAAAACAACTAGATTATATTCATTTTCCGAAAAACTGGTATTGTGATGAGGAGTCAAGGAAGAAATTTTTTAATATTTTAGACAGAAATGATTTAGATATTATGATGCGTCAGATTTATTAGGGTGGATTTTTTTTTTTATTTTATTTATTTTATTTTATTTTTAATTTATTTCTTTATTTCTTTCTTTGAATTCTTTATTTATTTCTTTTGTATTTTGATTTTTGTATTTTTTTTTATTTTTATTTTTGGATTCATGCGTAACAAGAAAAAAAGGGTTACATTACAAATATCCATAAAGAAGATATAATGAAAAACTATGTATTTAAAAAGGTCATAACACAACATATAATCACAAGGTCATTTGATTTATTTGATCTATTTAGGAGTTAAGATCGAATTAAATACCCGGAGTGTAAACCGAGCCTTCTATTTTTGCCACAAAAAAAAAGGTTTTATTTCGTTTTTTTTTTTTTTCTTTTTCGTTTTTTAAAGGCGAAAAATTAACGAAAATCATACTTAAAAGATCTTTATATTTATTTATTGATTTTATTTATATTTGTCAAAATTAAACGAAGAAATGCAGAAATAGATATTTACATATAACCTTTTTTAACACCACAAAATGAATCTATATTAATGTTGTATTATTGTTCTAATTGTTGTTGTTGTAAGTACAGTATATTAATTAATGAATATAGCCTTTTCATCAATAGGGAAACCTAATTTTTCCAAACACTTTCTGATATTATCGTTAAATAGACTACTACCACACACGATCAACTTAATTTGAGTAGTATCGGTGGATAATGATTTCATATAATTATGACGTTCGTTTAACATTATCATTTCATTTGTTTGATGTGATAATGCATTATTATGTAAAGGTGAAAAATAATAAGGTATATATTGTGAATTGGAAGAATAAGGACGAGGGTTAGATGATGATTGTGTTGATGAAACTTGTATCGGAGGAGGTAATACTCTATTAGGTGCACGACGATGTTGTGGATCATATTGATTCTCATCATTATTATAAATCTGATCTTGGCCATCATGTTCGACGACTTCTACAATGTCATGAAATTGATTGTTATTCGAATTATTCGCACCTGATGTGGTATGATGATGTTGATAACTATTGCTTATAAGGGTGCTTGCGCTTAATACACTTCCACTTCCACTTGCGACACTTAACCTTGGTGGAATGGCTGGTGGAGGTGCGGAATAATTTTGACTAATCCAATCATACAATAAAGTTTCATCGATCATTCCAGTTAACCCCCTCCAAATTGGTGGTGGTTTCGATAAGATATAAGTAATTTTAAGTTTCCCTTTAAGTATTTGACATAAATAATCTAAATACTTTGGTTGAATCAAATCCGCTATTGTGTCATTCGCATTTAATAAATATAAATTGAAATTTGCATTGGCCGATTTATCCAAGTGATATTGTATCTTTTATATTAATAGAATTAAAGAAAATAAATAAATAGTCGGTATCATAAAATAAACGGATGAACATCGGAAAAAAAAAAAAAAAGTGTTGGAACTTACCAATTGTAACATTGGGGTAATTCCAGTACCACCACAAACCATGAACAAATGTTCCCAACATAAATCATCTCTTTCTTTATTTAATAATATTCCACTCCTACCATCAAGTAAACTGTTCATATTATCGACACCAATATTACTATTTCCAATACCACTATTATTCAATGAGGGTTGATTAAATGATCGATTATCGCGTCCTCTAACATTGCTACCAGTAGAAAATGCACGAATTGGTGACAATGCTGTTGAAGGTGATGATGGTCTACTAATTATTGAGCCCGCTTGTTGGATTGACGGGGAATATGGTGCATTTAACACTCTATCCGCTATGTCAAACGGTCCTCTCACTTTGATTTCAAAATTCCTCAATTGTCGATTCTAAATTACGGATGAATGGAAAAAGGATAATTATAAATAAATAAATCAAAGGATATACACATATATTAATCAACAAATTCTAACAATCGTTCAATTTTTCTTACCAAATGTTGAGACATGACACCGTCTTTATATATTTTAACCAATATACAAAAACTATTGTCAGTTGGTCCTTGAAGTGGGGTATATGGTCTAATAGCCACTTGATTATTAGCATAACTCATGATTTCAATATAATCACCGGGAAGAAATCTTGGTAATCTGTCTTTTGGATGGATAACTTGAAACGTGAATTTTTTAACGGGTCTTTCAGCGTCATATCTAGATGCTGTTTCAATATTTGTTAAAATATAACGACGGAAAATATGAGGAGAATGTTGATGTGGTAATTCGGATAACAATTCAGATTTATGTAATGATACTGATGGTGGTCCTTTGATATTCATGTCTTCTTCGGAATCCAGGATCCTTGCTATTACCATAGTAGCCAACTTTGATGTTGCAAATTTGGAATGTCGGTGCATTGCTACCCTACGATGTCTGAATGCAGTAGAATTAATCATGTCAACCGCATTTGCCATATTGTAAGGTTTATGCTTCGTTTCATGTTGCCTTTTGTCCTTATAATTGTTATCTGTGAGTACTGATATGCTACTCTGCTGTTGTTTATCATCATATTCATTACTAAAGTTCCGATTGATCACTGTTACAACTGATGGATCGAAAAAGAAGTCGTTGGTAATATCTGTCCCAATGACACGCTGTAAGATCTTTTGTCCACCTGGATGTATTGGAATCCATTTATGGATATCAAATACTAGCCCTTCCGCTATAACAAGGCTAGCTCCTGTCATAACCCTTTGATTAAATTCCTATATTAAAATACATTAAATTCATTAATAATTTATTAAAAAAAAAAAAAAATTCCCATTAAATATTATACATACGCTCCATGATATGGCGGGTAAATGTTCATAAAATTTATGAGGAATACAAGCACGGATACGTTCCGATGAATCATCGGTTTGTCTTACGGGCCATAAGAATTGCATATTTTTAATCTTGTAATAAAATTCGCTTGCGGTTATCACAAATCCAATTAAAACTTCAAAACGCGAATTTTGTTTTTAAAAAAATAATCATAAATATGATTGGTAAAAATTTAAAAGCGACATAAAGTTATCTTTTCTTTATAATACTTACTTAACCATGCTAAATAGGTCCAAATATATGCTTTATCCGCGTCATATTTAATCAATCCCAAGAATATTTGCGTCCTGCAAATCAAATAAATAAGAATCCAAAATCTAAATGCATGACGAAGAAACTCGATATAATTCAAAATAAAATTTACCATGCAGCTATAAGTACGGCAGCTCCCAAGTAAAAATGTAAATGTTTTAAATGACGAACGACCCCAGTAGCTGCTGATTCGACATTAGCCAATCCCCAAATCGCCAATAAACCTAAGGCAATTTGAAATGCCATAACCGTAAAGATTATTAATCCCAAACTGATTTTTTTTAAAAAAAAGGGAGAGTTAAAAACAATTATTATAAAGAAGAAAGGAAGTGAATCAACCACTTTTAACTTACATTGCATGAGGACTAGCTGCATGCACATCTACTGCCGACATGGCCACTGCTCCAAATGTAGCTACTATGGCGCCACCAAAGAGATTCAAATTTCGATGTTGCGACATATATCTAATCAGGAAATTAAACGGCATAAATTTATTCGCTTATTATTATTATTTATTTTTTTTTTTTTACCAAAAAAAAAAAATTCCACTTACGAGTCTTTATGCCTCAAATATCTAACAATCCATACTGAACCTATGATAATTCAAAAAAAAAAAAAAAAAAAAAAAAAAAATTTAGATCTTGCAAAAGTACGAGTTTTTGTAACAGTATTTTTTAATCTTACCTGGGAATAGAATTCCCCAAATTATAAACATGACAATCCCGTGCATTAACAATAATTTTCTTTGTTTGGAATATGAGTTTGAAGTCTCTCCCGTTCTGAAATTTATTGTTTTTTTACCCCGATTTCCCGCATGAAAAGTTAAAACATTTGAAGTAGGATTCCAAGCGTAAACCACTAAATAAATCAATAAAAAACGCATTAACATCATTAGAAAAGAAGATAATCTTTTAGTATTTATATTCTCATTATTCTACATACTTTCAATAGAACCATCGATAGATTTTCGATTTTTAGCATTCAGAGGCCGCTTAACCAGAACTTGAGTTATACCATTTTCAACCTTTGTCTTACTATCCAATATTGTCAAAATTTGATCATTATCGGGTAATTCCTTAGGTTTAATTGCACGTCCGATACCTTTGTAATTCCTCCCAACCACACTAGGTTTATTATTGACATCTTGATTGTAAAATATCATCATATCGGTATCTAACATAGCAGCTTCAGTATTAGGATTAAATCCTATTCCGAACCATGAATTTTCACTATTCATTGTAATCAAGAAGGTAATATCAGAACCTTCCACAGTCCATTGAAGATTAAATCCATCAGCAAGCGTATCAGAACCCTTAAACTCTTTATTATCAGGTTTGGTTTTTGAAATAGGCGGTTGTACAAACCAAAGATTTTGCGGATATGTTACATATTGTGGGGTATTTCTTTCAAAAATTTGTAATAATGTTGTTTTCTGTATTATTGATAACTCATCCTTGCTAAATCCTGCATCTTTATTTTCATACCAAAATCTATCAGAATCTCTTATCTTTGACCACGATTCAACAAAACTTTTTGAAAATAATTCCCCATAATTTCCTCCATTAACGTGATCTTCGGCCAATCCACCCATAAATGCCTCAACTCGATCTATGGTTCCATATGTTTCTTCTAATTTTTTTTGTACTTCGGGATCGCTTGAAATTTCTGCCCAAGTTAATTTTTTTGATAAACCAAATGCTACTCTTGCATCATTATATGATGGAATACCGTGATCTCTACCTCGAACCAAATCTAATCTAAAGAATAAATGAATAAGGGTAGATTAGAAATATAAATGTCATGATATATCAAAATCTCATTATAAACGTTAACTTACGCAGCAATATCCACATATATTGGTCTAAGAAAATAATGCCGCCTATCATGAAATTTTTTTTAGTTGATATAGTTATAGATATGGTTACATTTATCGCAGTAAAGCAAAAAAAAAATTCATTAAAATTATATTTACATAAACTCAGAAAAATAGATATCAACTTCTTCTTGTCTTTTAAGATAATAATAGTATAATAATATTAATAATTATTGTAAGTTAACAAGGTTAAAAGAAATACAAAAAAAGGCATTAAATACAAAAAATCACATACATTTGAAGCGCTAGTGAAAGAGCAATGGTTGGAACTCCATAAGTTGTCAATAGACCGTTCATTTTTATATCGTGTAACGATAACACCGAAAGTAAATCTCCACGTTCATTTACCATATTATAAAAATCGCTGTATATTATACGAGTGTAATATTAGTAAAGGCTACAAATTTCATGATACCCTGATGTTAATCATACCTGATTTCGGAGTGTGCATATCGAAATGTCACCGAAGCAAAGAAAGTGTCAATGATGGGCCTAAGGTCCGGGTTATATCCTTTATATGGAGGTAAATTGGATCCCAATGCAGTTCCAACTATGATTGGATACATCAAAAGTGTAAGTAAAAATAATGAACCTTCACAAACGCGACTTAAATATTGTAACTTACGATATTCATAATAGGTAATTCTTTGAATAAATGCTATTACCCATCTTCTTGCCTCTTGAAAGTATTTTTCATCATCCCAATTATTTCCATGTATCTTAAATAAATCGTCACATAATCGATTATGTTCACGTAAAAAGATTGTGGCGAACATATCAGTAAATACATTCTTTGTTTTCGCCGTTATCCCCGTAATTAATTCACCATCCGCACTTTGAGGTGGATATCCAAATTGCCCATCAGGCGTTTCAAGGTATTCCAATTTCATCTTTCCATTATTATTAACATCACGAAATTTTTGTAAATCAATTTCGTTGTTACCATAAATCGTGGACGCGTCAAGGAATGATGTGACCATGTTTACTCCTGTTTGACCGCCATCTGCTACTGATCGATTAAATGGAAAAGCCGTCTATTTGAAAATATTAAAAGAAATTGGCTCGTATAATGATGAAATTATGATACAAATAAATTGCTGGTGCTTACCGAAGTATAACCAAAAGTGTCGGCGGATGGGCCATTTCGGTAACTTGACAAGTAATCTTTATCATCTTGAGGGATATAGATCCCTTCTGAATATGTCGGCCCATTAGCGGGATTAGTAACGATATCCATTCTCACGAAAAATGCCCAATATGTTAACTAGTTAAGAAAGACATATTAGTTATAATCCATTTGAATATGCCGCAGCATTACTACGCCAATAATAAAAAACACTTACAATATGTGAATTTTTCCGTTTACTCTTGAATTTTTCCAAAAGTTGAAAATTAAAAGAATCATCAACTTTCAAAGTCATAGCAGCCACTTTATTACTAACACATCTAGGCAAAGGAAAAGTATTTGCAGGTAATTGGGCACTACAAGTAGTTAGTGTATCTGGAACAATAGCTTCCCCATATTCCCCCGGTGTAGAAATCATTTTTGATGTAGCTTGATCCGCGAATCGTGATTCCGATGGAAGTTCTCTGATGAAAGGAGTTTTCGAAACACCATCTAATGGGTTTAATTTATTATTACCTTCGCCACTTATAGAACGATACTCTTGACATGTCTTTGTTACGAATAGAATTACAAAAATAATAACATGGAATAGCGACTTGATCAATTTATTTTTAATCATCATTTTTTTTTTTTATATCTATGAAAATTTTTCTTCGTTACTTTTTTAGGTATTAGGATTTTCACTTCATTAAAGATCTTCTCATTTACAAGTTAATCATTCAAAAGTAAAAGGAAGTTGTGGATTCAGAATAAAGGAATTGATTTTTTTTTTTTAAAAAAAAAAAAATTAAAAAATAAAAAGGCCCAAAAGTTCAAAAAAAGTTGGATAAATAATGAATAATATATATGTGTTTAGATAATGATTTGTTTTTGGCTCTCACGGCTACACAACTTTTCTTGTAATACACTGATTAATCCACAAAATGATTTTTTTTTTTTTTTTTTTACATTTGAAAAAAAAAAACCTTTTTAACACCTATTCAGCTAATGAATTCCTTTCTCGGAACGAAATTATCCGTCATTAACTGAATAAAAAAAATATATATATATAGAGTAATGATTTGTAAACGAATATAAATAGTAAACAAAACCTAATAGTCGCCAAATGAATTAAATCCTGTCCATAATAGGTACAAAATACTATTATTAGGAGATAGATAATTGCCAAAACAAAAGGTATCATTTTAAGCCTATTTAATCGGCGTAATTCAAGCTAAAACCTTCCGGTCTTTGTTTGCCCAAAAATTGTAATTGTAAAAATTCGCGTTATTATTCAACAATATATAAGGCTCCCAACTTGAGATACGACGCGATTTAATTAGCTAAAGTATTGCCAACTTCAATAAATTGTTTAGAGTTTGAGTTCAGCCGATTTCTAGATTCTAGACTGAACCTGAACAAAAAGGTTTAGCATTCGAACTAAAAAAATTAACCCATTTTAAACGTATAAAGATATTTTTCACAAAAAATTCACATTCCGTATAAACGATGGCGAGGATCTCGATAAGCACTTTCCCATCGTATCAATTATTTTGGCGTGTTACAAAAAAGGTTTATTTATAAACTACATAAATTAGAAATTACAAACGCCAAAGGTTACATTAGTAATTAGTGGCCTTCTTTATGTATGTGAATTCGAGATTCATCGTTTGAAATGATGTGATGCATACTTGGAATTGAATGAATTTCATCTTATTTGGCATTGTGGTAGCATGTTGTCATGTGCGACATCCGTGATAATTATTAGAAATAATTTTCACGTATGAATGAATTAATATAACTTCTTTTAAAATCTCGCATCTTGATTATGCACGGAACATCCATAAAAGAATTCCCTAACAATAGTAATTTTAAGTATAACTTCGCTAATTTACGTAAATAGGAATAACAAACTAAACAAACCGCTACCTTTTCACAATAGGTGGGTATCTTATTTAGAACATTCCAGCATGATATTTTTTGTGTCACATCAATTTTTCCTTTAATTATCAAAAAAGTTTACACGAATTCAGCCAGCTGATCATCTAAATATCGAAAGATTCCCTTATATTAAACCGAAAAATAATTACATTACTAATCCCCTCCCTTTTTTGTATCACCATCAAAACTCGTGAAAAATGTAAAAAAAAAAAAAATTTATGTAAACAAAGATGCATAAATTTTTATCCTTGAATGGTTGTAAAGCTAATTAATGAGTATGACTTGTACCAGCAACATTTTGAATCGGGCCACCATGATTTTTTTCTTGTGCTTTCTCTTGCATCAATTGCTTGGCATATTTATCATCTTGAATATCTAAGGGAATTTTATTTTTATCGATTACAACTTTACTTTTTTCATTAAGAGTTGCGCCTTGATTTGTCGCATTAATCCCACTTTTCCGAAATTCATTTATAAAATCATCTGAAATGTTTTGATCATCAGGTAACCAAACTATAGGTTGTGCGGACGTGATAGCAGGATGCATGAACGTTTTTGACCCTTCTTCTTTTTGCAATTCTTCTTCATCGCCTTCATTTATATGCAATACATCTTGCCTTGCATATTCATCCTTTTCAACAACTTCTTGTTCATGTTTATGTTTACCATGATCATTTCCTACCAAAACCTTTCTTGATTTCATATCAATTATACCCGTCAAATCAACAGGTAAAAATTCGGCCCTTGGATTATGTTTAAAGATCTTTCTCATGGATACTAATACTATGACCGATGCCATTAACAATATAATACACAATATGCCTTGTACAAAAGCCCCTTTAAGAAACATTAATCCAGTAAGTGTTAATTGAAATATATAAATCCCTGTAAACATTTGATAAACTCCCTTTGGGAACAATAATCCTCCCGTCTGATTTGGCTGTTCGTATACGTAAAGGAACTGATAACGATACACCAAGTAATAAATCATAAAATGTAAGGTAACGATAGGAAGGATTAATGGCTGTACTGTAGAGTATACCAAACCGATACAGGCTATCAATGTATGTGGAGGGAAAGCCGTTCCCCAATCTTTATATAACATCGCTCGTTCCAATTGCCAAATTTTTCTAGGAGTTTTAGCTAAAAATTTCCTAAAGATAATGTCCGAAATTAAAGGTGCAATTTGGAATATTTCTATGGCGCTAGCTGATATCGTAAGAAGGACATAGGTAAGGAAAAATGTTGAAGCCAATGGAAGATTTACTGCTAAAATGTCAATTGCTTGTGTTGGTTTCTCAATAAGATTTGGCAATGCCGTAAATATACCATTAGCGAATGTTGAAATTAAAAGTACATTCACAACCTAACGTAAATTCACACACGCATATAAATTAATCATTAATTCGAATTAATAAATCAAAGTAATTATGAAAATAGTTCTTTATACCAAAAAGAAGTAATATTTGCCCTGCAAGCTAAGGTCAACCGATGAATACGTGACAATTCCTTCGAATTTGGATAAAACTAAAAAAAATATACGTATATGTGGATGTATTTTAAGTAAATAAATAAAAAAAAATTATTCCGAAACGTAAAAAATACCTACATTTTAAAATTATTGGCAATATAAACATCAATATCGCTAATCCTAAAGCTGGTAAAATACCCTGAATTATACCAAAGACCTCTTTTGGAAAAGACCCTATAATATTCTTCAATAATGGGAGTTTTTGCAATGATTCCAATTGACTAATAGACGCGACAAATGTGACTAAAATTTTATCACGTTATTTTAGAAAATTTTTTTTCCTTAAGAATTTTTTTTTTTTGTAAACCAACATAAAATAATACCTGGAAAAATCCAAAGTAATACAAGAGCAATAACAATGGCTAGACTAATAAACCTTCTAATGATTCTTTGATTATTCTTCAAATTCAAATTTTCCCAAATGATATCATCAGGGGCAATATCAGTTAACCTTGGAACCGTCGATGCAGCGGCTAACTGAGCCCCGATATAATTATTAAATTGTATAAAAGCTGAATTCAATTGTTTAAAATCATTGGGGTTTTTTTGCAAATTTAATATTTGTTGATTTAAGTTGCTTAAATCAGAACGATAAGTTTCCAAGGAATCAACTTTTTTTCCCATTATTAGTAATTTACGGTGTTGTGGACGTGTAGTACTCGGTGCGCTACTTCCATTTTCGGCATTAGATTCTTTGGATGGTGACTTTGCTAAATTCTTTGCGTGTTGCGTTATGTATGTTGTAGCGGAACCTTCTAATTTATTCACTAATTTCTCTCGATCAGCCATGAAACCTTCAAGTTTAGATGGTTCTCTATTAAGCCATATGCGCTTCACTCCACCCGGAAATATATCGAATAAAGCTTTCAACGCTTTAGAATTATTCATTTCATTTGGAATGCCGACAACTAATATGGTGGTCGCCCGTGGAGAATTTCGATGTTCGTCAGTTGTGAGATATTCATGGCGTAAGCGAATAAATGTACGCAACTCATGATATAGTACATATATTGTAACACCTATCGTATGATATAAGTGAGAAGATCAAAATTGAAAATTGACGACGAAAACGTTTCAATACACGGTATTTTATACGTACAGCTGAAAAAATATGAGAGAATCAAGTGAGCCCATAATCTATTGGAGTCGGAAATGTTACCAAGAGTGAATTGATCCAAGCCAGAGCCACCTTTTTGATTTTTAGAATCAAGTGGTAGTAAAATTACTATTCCAAGGACACTAAATATACCAAATAACTTCATAAACAATCCCATGAATCTTATAAACATAAACGCGTCAAGCCCTATTCGCTTTATAACTTCTTCATCGGGAACCCTTAGAACCGGTAAAACCCATTTAAAAAATCCCGTTGGTAATGGTTCCGACCTTTTCCTGTTGAATACTGCGGTTAGTCTGATTACTGCGGCTAGAGCATCACATGCTGCAAGCGATCAACGAAAAATTGGCTTACTTTTCAGGAACCAGATAAGTTCGAGGTTCATAAACCTTTCTATTTCGTTTCCTTACAAAATCAAAAGCAATAAATACCGCAACTGTAATGCCTGTATTGAAAATTAAAGAAGAAATAAATGTCTGAATGGACGAGTCAGTATTAATCTGCTGGTCTACTGGAGACGACATAATTTACAAAATCTAGATTTTTTTTTTTTTTTTTAAAGAACAATTCCTAAAAAAGGAATTTAGGAAAAGGAAAATGTTTAAAAAAAAGGCCGAGTTTTCGATTACATTTATACAAATTTTTGTTTCATGGATATCCTTTTAAAGCATTCAAATCTAATTTAGTGTAACCTTACATCATAAATACCTTGAGATTTTCAGATCATGATGATGTAAGGATCTTAACAAGATATTTTCGTTTTAGTCGATTTCTAATTGTTGCCTTCATAATGAATTGACTAAAACAAAAAAAAAATATGATTAGCTTAAGAAAAATTAGGTCCGAAGCAAGCATCAATGAATTCTAAAAAGATAAATTTTTTTATTCCTCCATCAGCCACTGATGCAAAATTGTCGTTTTCTTGAAACCTCGTGTAACCATATGAACCTAAATCCTGCGTAATTTATGTATCTTAAAATTACTTACCAATTAAAATTGACCAGTCGAATTAATTATAGCTGCGAATGCCAAAGCTTTATCTGAACGACGAATTCAAAATTTCGCCAACATTCGTATCATATTCTCAAGATCTTTCTTTTGCTTGTTTCATTTTTTTTTTTTTTTTTTTTTTTTTTTTTTTTTTTTTTATTACACTTGTATGCATTCATACATATCAAAAGTGAAAATGACAATGAAACGGGTATTTCAAGATAAAAAATTTGACTTTCCGTAAATATTATCCATTTAAGGAATTTTTCATGCATACGCACGAACTTTTGGGGTTGAAATAGTCGAAATTAAAATAAAATAATTGTTAAACAAAATTTAAAAAATTTTTTTTGACATTTTTTTTTTGAAGATATGCTACCAGATTTGTCATTAGCCCTGTTAAGAGATATTCGACAACTTTTTGAGGATGCGGACGATTATAATGTATTAATCCAAGTTGGAGAAGAACCTAATATAGAATTGTTTAAAGCACATTCGGTTATTTTAAAAGCAAGGTCACCATATTTTCGAGCGGCGTTTTCAACAAAGTGGGCAAAGAAAAAAGGAGATACGTTTACTTACAAAAAGCCGAATATCTCTCCCAAAATATTTAAAGATATCCTTAAATATATTTATACGGGCACGATTAACCTGAAAAATGAAGTACAAAAAGAATTATTAGAATTAATGGTAGCAGCGGATGAGCTTGTATTAGAGGAATTGGTCAAACATATTCAAGAACATCTTGTTACAAATGAGAGTGAATGGTTAATAAGAAATATTATTCAAGTACATCAAATGGCTTCAAGGCATAAGACATGCGGCATGCTACAAGATTTTTGCGAAAAAGAAATGTGTAAAGACGCTTCATTAATTTTTCAATCAAGTGATTTTGCATTTCTTGAGGAAACCTCTTTAATTGCTTTATTAAAACGGGAAGACCTAAATATGTGTGAAATTGAAATCTGGAATTATGTTATTAGATGGGGCATGGAACAAAATCCACTCCTTTCTTCGAATGATGTGACGAAATGGACAAGTGAAGATTTTGCGATCATGGAACAAACCTTAAAAGGATGTATACCGCACATTAGATTTTTTCAAATTTCTTCAACGGACTATTATTATAAAGTTAGGCCTTATAAAAAATTATTACCATCCGATCTTAAAGAACGCATTAAAAAATTTATTATGGTAGGAAGTGAATCGGAATTTAATATTTTACCACCACGTAAAAGTACTAGATTACCCGGTTCAAAACTTATGACGATTCAATTTGTTTCCCTGATTTCGAGTTGGATTGATAAAGAGGTTTTTACTCATAACGATGATCCCCTCGAACTTTCCAAAGTTCCTTACGAATTTAGATTGCTAGCTTGTGGTTCTCGTGATGGGATTTCACGTCAAGTATTTCATGATAAATGTAATAATCAAGGTGCTACTCTCGTGGTATTAAAGGTTGGTGATTCCAATCTGCTTATTGGTGGTTATAATCCTGTTTATTGGAGTTCTTCCGGTCGATTTATTTCGACCAAAGATAGTTTTATTTTTTCTTTGGGTCAAGGAAATGATTTGCAAAATGAAGCAATTTTGAGTAGAGTTGTGAATCATGAACAAGCCATTCGTGATTGCGGCGTCGAATATGGGTGTTTGGGCTTTGGATGTGGTGATTTACGTAAGTTCACGCTTTTCCATAAAATTTTTTTTTCATTTTTATATACACTGTATATTCCTTTAACTTGAAAAGGCTGTTCTTTTTTTATAGATATAATTGAAGGAACAAGTACACGAAAAGATTATGAACGGGACATAATCAATATATCACCTTTTGTGATAAATGATTATGAAGTATTTCAAGTTATAAAGAAAAATTAACCATACGCATGATAAATGTACATACAGCATAAAATTCGTGTTTAAAATTTACTGTAAACCTTGGTACCTTTCCCAAACGGTTACGAAAAGGGTTTCTTTACCAAACATTTGCTAAATAGATCGATCCTCTTATATTCTTGAAATTTTTTTTTTTTTTTTTTTTGATTTATTAATGAATATGAGTGATTAATTATATTCGGAAAGGCCATTTAAAAACTGACGAAAGTTTTTTATAACAACTTCTCTTAAATGACCAAAAGAAAAATTAATCACCATAAGATTGGCCACGTACCGAACATCTCACTCAGGTTTTCACCATCAAGAATTAACGGTCTGAATCGCTTTTTTTTTTGTTTTTATTCCGCAATGAGATTCTTAATTAAATAGATCGAGTTTGGGTTTTCTCGCGGTTTTTGGATTGAAATTTATTTTTCTATCGTGGGATAAAGAGTTATGTATTTTGTAAACAAAAAAGAAAAAAAGAAATGTTATTCTTTCAAAAAGTATTCTCGTCACAATGTTTATTCGCTCGATATTATGCGATCGGTCTTTTCAAATCTCAAAAAGAAATTCGAGTCATCAATGGTGGAGAATCGCGATTTAATCAAAGAGAAAATGGCTTCGACTCCAATAAATCTTTTTTTTTTTTTATGAAAGGTTCATTCAATGACCGGAAATAGTTCATCGTGTGAACTTATAAACAAACCAATAATGTGGTTTCTCCAAAGACTTGAAAAATTTTCGTTTGGTGGTTGCTTATCAAGTATTCCATGTTTTCGATATTTGGTCAATATTTATGTAAATACGTTATATTTCGTTTTTTCTTGTTAATGACAGGAAAAAGAATCATATGCTTGATTTAATTTTAATTGGATGTAATTTTAAAAATTCATTCGCGAAAATTTAATTAAAAAAAAAAAAAAAAAAAAAAAAAAAAAACCTTTTAATGAATCAAAAATTTTGAAATACCGCAATTCCGTTATCAATAACGGAGAATTTTTATTTTTTATTTTTAAATTTTTATAAATTTTCTTTTTTTCTTTTCTTTTTTTTTTTACAAATTATTATATACAAATTTTTTTTTTTAAAAGAATCTATCAACCTTTGAAAAATTAAAATTGTCCAAACTTTTCGTAATGAGAGGACATCATTTGAGGAGTTAGCAAATGGGGAAATTGAGGGGGTGGTTGGGGAGCTAATATTGGTTGGGGAATACCTGCCACCACGTGAGCTGGGATCATTTGGTGTTGTGGAAAAATTTGTTGTCGCGGTTGAGGATGATGAGGATAATGTGAATATAAGAGTTGTGATTTCACATATTGCGACGGGAGGATTACTTTTGATCGGCAGAATTGATGAGGTTGTGTGAAACTTATCTGTGGTGATGTGTAAATTGGTTTATCGGTTGTGTAATTGGATGAGGAATTGATGACATAAAAATTATTCATGGGATTGGTTACCAGTTGTGGTTGTCTTATAAATATTTGCCGTTGTGGTATTGGAACTTGTTGTGGCAAATTATTTGGCGATTGCGCAACGAAACGTCCTTCAAGCTTCGATAGTCTTTCATCGTTTTCTTCCTGCTCATAAGTCTCCGCCTGCTGCATGATCCTATGCGCGATATTTTCTTTATGTTCAACCCAAAATTGTATCTCTTCCTTCCTAAGATTATTATATTCTATCATCGCCCGATCAACATCCCTCATCCAATATACATGAGACGCGCCACGAAAGATTCGTGGAAGGGTTCGAAGAACTTCGTCTGGGACACGTAAATCAATATAAAGCGTGTCACGTCTTTGGAAAAAAAAAAGATCAATTTTTTTAATTTTTTTTTTTTTTTTTTTTTTAAAAAAAAACAATCTCACTCGAATTGAACAGAACAGCTACCTCATCGTGTTTTTGTCAAGACATGATTCGCAGCAACGTACGCGAAATTCCCAATAAACCCTAATGAGACCAATTCCATGACCATGGCAAAATTGACAACCGTTTTCCAATTGCCTCAGAACGAAATAACTCTTTTCATCCAATTCTGGTGGGGGATTCAATTGAAGAAATCTCAAGAATCTCGTCCTAGAAGTTTTCCAAATCGCCTGGGTTTCTTGAGAATGAAGGCTGCAGAGTAATTCATTTAATTTTCTACACACCAATGTCATTGATAATAAATCACTTGGAGGCAAATGAGCACATATTTGAGCGAATATTTCGTTTGGAATCATTGTAAAATTTTTTGGAAATGAATGATTAAATTGCGTTTCCAAGTTTGGTCTCGTTGGTTGACGAAGTTGATCATTGGGTAATGTAACTTGAGGTGAGGGAATTTCAGTGACGATTGATTTAGGAAGTTCTTTCGGTGATAATATAGGTGAAGCAGCGATGGGTTCTTGTTTTACGTTCACTTCAATTGTGGAAGCTCTTCTTTTGTTGCTCCTTGTAATTGATTTGCTGCTTCCTTTTCGTTTACGTCTAATAATATCAAATCGTGTCAATATCTTGAAGAATTGAAATAAAAAAAAAAAAAATAAATATCAAAAAATATTTTTAAATCAAACATACACACGAGGACTAGAAGTATTAAATTCACTCATGTTTAGAAATTTTTTATTTGTAAAGATGATTTAAAAAATGAGGAAAAAAATAAAATAAAAATATCTTTGTGTTTTTATTTATCATAGAAAAATCTGATAATTTGTCTTACCTGTCACTGTTCTAAGTTCTGCAATCATGTTTGGGTCATTTGACTTATTAATTTAATAAGGTTTGTAATATAAACAATATAAACTTTTGTGTTCAGAAAACTTTATTCTCAAAATGAATCATTGAATTGACAATGGGAAAATTAAAAAAGTCACACATTTAGTTCATATTATCCATTTTAGAAAGATTTTCATGTGCAAAGATAGAGTAAAGGAACAAAATCAGTAAAAAGGATTGGGAAATTTCGTTCCAGAATAAATTTCCAGATCGAGCATAAGTTTTGTATATTTTTTCGGCGCGGTTATGAACCTGAAAACACTATACCGAATCTAAGCCAAATTTAAATTTGGTGATTGTCCAAGCAAAAAAAAAAAAGTGATCATTTAAACCATTCTAGTAACAATATGATTTTACTTAAAAATGACAGTCCCCAATTTTAGAAATTTGGCGTGAGAAGAGTATAGAGTTTCAAGATAACGGGAAATGAAGAATGTTTTCCATTACTTGAAAAAAAAGACGACGGTTATTAATCGTGAGGCTTGATTTCTTTTTTTTTTGTTTTGCTCACAAGGTGTCCTTGGATAATCATTGATTTGAAAAATATTGTTGTAAATTGTGAACACTCTTGGTAAGACAACATAACACCAAACAGGTCGAACAGGTCAAACCGGTACGATTACCAGATGATGTCCTGCATGCGTTTGGATTTTTGGTTTCCAAAAAAACCTTCTCTCATCACATTACACCAAATTACCTCATGTTTTTGCATTGCATATCCCCTTAACATATTTTTTTTTCTTCAAATAATAAACTTGAATATTTTGTTGTGGTCACCCACCACCAAAAAAATGTTAGATTCGCTTTTTTTTTTTAGCAAACAATCTCCTTTTTTTCTTATCTCCCCCATTGGTTTACTTCAATGCAAACAATAAACATAAAATGTGTATCCATCAAAAAAAAAAAAAAAAAAAAAAAAAAAAAAAAAAAAATTAAAAAAAAATCAAAAAAAAAACCCCCACCCAAAAAACTTTCAGTATGAAGTCTCCCCCTGGTTCAAAAAAAGTTT